TATATTCGACTCTGAGTTCTAGCCCATTCTGTTATTGAGACCGTTCGGTTGCAATGTGTTCAGCCGACTTTGCCAAAATATTTCTCTAGCTCGAAGTATTTCTTTTTTCCGTTCAATTGTCATGTTACTCCGTTTGATTTGTTCAATAATCGTAATTGTGACGTCTTTGCCAAAGTCATGAGACCTGCTGTTGTGAAGAAAGTGCTCTGATAGTTCACAGCCGTTGACTCCTTTCTTAATATGGTTCCTATGATTATTAAGGCGCAGGTTGAAAGCTGTCTCGCTCTTCCCTACATATTGTAATCTACAAATTCGACACTCAATTATATAAATCACAAAGGTTGATTGACAATTCACTGTATGGAATATGTCGAAAACCTTGCCATCCCGCCGCATGCCCGTAAAAGTGGAGGTCTTGTTTATAAGCACGCACCAACTACATTTCGGTTTATTGCAAGGACCACAGCTACCCATTGTGGTGGTACGTCCTTCAGGGGTTCTGCCTGTTAATTTGGTACTGACGAGTATGTCGCGTACACTTTTTGACCGCCTATATGCGATGATTGGTCGTTCTCTAAATATGTGAGCCAGTCTTTCCTCTGATTGGAGGAAGTACCAGTTCCTGTTTTCACAGAAGTTCAGGTTTCACGAGTAATCATCGTTTTATTGCTACAGAACTGTTTCGTATGGTGCAAGGACCACACTCATCAGGCAATTTTGACGACTGAACTGTTGGAATTGGAAGGCTGGCAGTTAAATGCGAAAATTTAAATGGTTGCTATGGTAGATGCGTTACGTTCAGGTTATATGAAACTGTTGAGAGGGTTGCTAGGTAACAAAAACATTATATAAGAGGGATAATCTGTCGTTATAAAAAATGTGATATAAGCGGGTTTTAAGCTACGTTACTCTAAAGTTTCCAAGTACATATCGATTTCTGTGGGGGCATGAACTTGCTAATTCGTTTCTTCTGTTGAGGCTACACAGTTCTTTTTTACAGATGATTATGAACTTTTCATTCACGCAAAGACTACATTTTTTGTTGTAGGGTTTACATTTCTTAAGAATTTTCCATTTAATCTGAAACGGTTTGTTTTCGTTTTGTAAGTTCCAAACATATTTGGAGGGTTCTGTTTCATTTCTTCTTTTCGAGTGTCGAAAGGATGTTTTGTGGTTCCTGTAACGTTCCTTAAAGTTTGTGGCTAGTTTCATATAACCTGAATGTAACGCATCTACCATAGCAACCATTTAAATTTTCTCATTTAGCACTTTGAGGAATGAATTTCCAAGTGAAGGACTTCGAGTATTCTAATGGACAATCAGACTTTTTTCTACAATTGCAGGTGTCGGGTTGCGGTGTTGGGGCATTTGCATTGGAAAGAACGTGTTTGTTGTGTGACGATCTGATGGATTTCATATTTGGCATACATGAGTAGCTTAGCTTGAGAGTGTGTCTGTTGAAAATCTTGTGGAGTGGATGTTTTTTCTGGAAGCATTTATCTACGATGCGGAGGAACTTTCTACCAAGGTTGGTTTTAACATTCGAATCGAAAGGAGGATTGTACCATGTAATGTCCCTTTTTCTCTTTCTTTTGGTTCTTGGAGTGGGCTCAGGGTTGTATGTTAGTTTGTGATCATATCCACTTTCTTTAAGTGCTTGCTGGTAAGGGGCAATTGATTCGTCAAAAACTTCTTTGCTGGATGAGATGTTAGTTAGCCTTTTGTTGATGTTGAGAGGTATGTTTTTTAGTAATGCCGGGGGGTGGTTGCTCTGTTGGTGGATGTACGAGAGTTTATTGTTGGGTTTCATGTATGGCTTGTAACTTCCGTCTGTAAGGTCGAAGGTTACATCAAGAAAGTGAACGATTTTTTTTGTTGGCATCCATTGTAATCTTTAGGCCCTTTGATTTAAATACATTGCAGACTTCTTTCTTGGTTTTTTCAATTTCTTTCGGAGTGGCTTTGCAAACCGCAAGACCATCGCCACGGTACAGTCCAACTTCATCTTTGAATTTGGGTGCGATCAATGAGAGCATGTAAATTCCTATCAATTCGCACGTTTCTGCTCCGTCGTATGACCCCATTGTAACATCAAACATGTCGTTTGTGTTCTTCTTGGTCCAGGGAGAGTTTTGATGGTAAAGGAGTGATTTTTTTGCGTGGATGATGATGTGGCGGTCTTGTGGAGTGATAGTGGTGAAGTTGGAAGAATAATCTCATGCATTCAGGAGCAGGTCTTCAGATATGGATGGATAGAAGTCGCACACGTCAAAGGTGATAAATGCGTGTTTTTCCCTTTCTGGGATTGCCCTGAACCATTCTATGGTGTTGTTAGTGCTTTTCCACAGGTTCACCTTGGTTGCTTGGATGACTTCTTTGTTTATGCGGTCTAGGATGTTTTTGCTGATGACACCAATTTTAGATTTGCTTGGATTAATGAGTCTGCAGGTCGGGTTGTTAATGAAATCTGGTTTGTGGTCTTTCAGTGTAATTAAAGAGTCCCTTGATGCTGAGACTTTAATTCGGTCTGCTAGTTCGATTTTTTCTGCTACCTTCTTGTCCTCTAGAGTTATAATATCCGGCACGTTCGGGTTTGTCTTCTTGTAGGTCTTCGTAACATTTTTGTTTACAAGTGTCATACAGTCTTCGGGTGCAGTCTTGTAATAGTTTGTCGTTTTGTCTGCTTTCACAAAAATGTTGTGTTCTTCCTGTATTTCTTTTACGTCTTTATTGAGCTTTTTCTGAAGGTCATTAGGGTAA